GGGACCGTTGTGCCCAACAGTATCTTCCCCTCTTTTCAGAGCCCCAACTTACAAAGCCTCTCTCCTCTTCCTCACGGGTTCAGGGCCTTTGCCACTACCCCACTCCCAACATTTGTTCATTCCACACTCAGTGAGCACAGCCCCTGGTGCATGATCTCTGTTAATGCTGAAGCCACGATAATGAATAAAACCTAGGTTCCTGGCCTGACGCTGATCCCTCAGCGTGACTGTCACTTTTCTGGACACTTCTCTCACCCCTGTCCTCTACTCAGGAAGAATTTTTACCCCTGTCTGTATGTCAGTGGAGCATAAACAGAATTTTTGGCTCCAAGAGAAGGGGTTTTCAACCTTAGCAAGCAAGTAAGGGGCAAATAGGGATGGAGGTGTTTTGGGGAAAGAGTTCTACTCTATGCCAGGTATTTTATAGATGTTATTATAGTTTTTAGACAACTTTCACTGAGGCATAATTGATATAGAAAAACTGCACAAATTTAATGTATACTATGTGATGAGTTTGCACATATGCAAGCATCTGTGATACCAGCTCCAATCAAGGTAATGGACATGTCCGTTGCCTTTAAAAGTTTCCTTGTGCCTCTTTTGTGTTGTTTTTTGTTTTTGTTGTTGTTGTTACTGTTGCTATAAGAACTTAACATGAGCTCTACTGTCTTAACAAATGTCTAGGTGCACAATACAATATTAACTACAGACATTCTGTTGTACATAAGATTTCATTACATTAATCCTCACAATAACTAGGGGGGTTAGATTATCCTTCCCAGGGCTTAAAGAGGTTAAATTCTTTTCCCAAAGCCATACAGCTAGTTAATAGAAGAGCTGGGATTCACATTTGGTTTATCTGAGTTTTTAAACCCAGGCTGCTCTTATGACATTATAACGTCTGCCTTCTTCTGTCTGCTCTGGTGCCCCTCTGGCTAAGCTGAGCCATGAGGAAAGGATCTCTACTCTTGGTGCCCTTAAAATGTTCAGGAGGCAGGACTCAGTGGAAGAATTCTGAACAACAATTGGGGGACACTGTAGGGTCAGCTCACACACTCCAGAAGAAAGGAGATTATCTGCATGGGGTTAGTAACCCAGAGGGTGCCTGGATGGGTCCTGCAATGACTACCTAGCTGAGCTTCCAGAAGCCCTGGGAGATATAGAAGTCTCTGCATGTCAACTGATAAATGGGCCACTTGCCCAAACCCTACCTTGTTGGGTGTGCTCAGCATGAACTCAGGCAGGTGTGTGGGAGTGAGAGACAGGAAGAAGACAAGGTTTCAGCAACAGGTGCTAAAAAGTCCTGAAATTCTTACTCATACACCCGACCTAGAAACTTACGTATTTCCTGCCTCTCTCCCCATTCCCTGCTACATCTAAGTGATGCCATTGGTCACTTGTTATTCTGCTTTCACCTGTTCTCCTGTTTTGACCTGATTTTCCCTAGAGACCAATGGAGAGGGCCCAGTATAGAGCAGTAGAAAGGGAGCTGGTTTTGAATCCAGATTTTCACAAGATGAATGGTAACAAAGGATTTTACTTTTAGGAGCCTCAATTTTCTCACCTGGGCAAAGTGAAAAAATGATACCTCAAGGGACCGTTGGGAAAATTAAATAAGACAATGGATGCAAAGACATCTAGCACAATGTGTGGCACACAGCAAATGCCCAATAAATACTCGGCAGGTGTATGAATTGAGGCTCAATGAATGTTAATCACTCCAGACTTCCATGGTTGGCATTACTCTTACTACTTAGGAAAATGAGCCAGAGTCCTCTTACATAGGTCTTAGGTATGTCATTTATCATTGGAAAGGACTCAAGCTCATCCCGTGCCCCTGCCCCAAAGGCAACCGGGAAATCTGTGAGCTAAAGGTCCCCTCCTGCCGCGGGCATTGTCACCAGAGGCAGGTCACTCAGCATCTGCTGTGAGCTTCTGCACAATGAATCTGGGTGGCCTCTGGCTTGCCTACCATAGCTTTTGACAATAAATAGACCTTTAGTCCTGTCTCTGAGCCTCTGGTCTAGAGGAGAACAAAGTTGGCAGTGTTCACGGAAAAATGTGTGAGGGCCAGGTAGAAGACCAGTATGTCTCTCCCTCTCCACCCTTCCTTTTGGCGGAGATATCTCACTTTCCTCAGAACACTGGGTCGGTAGCCCTTTCTACCCACTTGTGTCTGGATGCAGAGATGAGGGAGAGCAGGCAAGAAGAGAGGCTGGAGCGCCCCCTGCTGGGGCTGGGGCAGCTAGTAGCTTCTGGCTGGTTCACCTGCCAGATGGGTGCTGTCTTCTATCTCCTTGCTGAAAACCTTCTTGTGCAACGTGAGACCATAGTTATAACTTGGTCCAAGAAATCTGGGGAGTTGCTGAACAGGCCAAGGTCACAGGGAGGTCCACTGGCAACCCCTGGTCTCTTGGATAGCCCTTTCCTCTCTGCTCCACCAATGGAAAGAAGCAGTAATCCTATTGCAAACATATCCTACAGTCTGCGTCATAGCTATGCATTTTTCCCTCTTAAGGAATTCTAAATGTTAGCAGGGTCCATATGCTGTAATTCAGAGACATTTAATATCATTTGTTTAGCATTAGATGATACTTTTTATACTGTAAACTCCATTCTTTGACATCAAGAATGTAACCACCTGCCTCATGCCATTCCCCTCCAGAGTTATAGACCAGGAGATGATGCCACAGAGCATCCAGCATCCTCCCAGGGAAGGAGCCCCTTCCATTTCTTCCATGAAAGATGTTCATTAAGACTGTTTGCACACATCTGATAACGGGGAGCTTGCTGTCTCCCTACAAAGCACATCCATTGGCCAGAAACTATTCGCTAGAAAGTTTTCCTCATATTTTGAGCTGACATCTGTCTTATTGAGACTATCTCCCTGGATTTGGTTCTTACCTTTGGCAACACAGAACAGGTTTGTTTCTTTTGGACAAAAAGAACATCCAAGATGTTCTTTCAGCTTTTTAGACATTGTGATCTCACTTTCCTACTTCCGCTCCCTCTTATTTTTCATCTCAGGGATAAACAGCTCATCTCCTCATCTGTTTTCAATGGGAAATTATTTGCAGACACCTCACCATCTTGGTCATATCCCAAATAATACAGCTGTCTCTTACTGACCACCCTTGCTGACACTTCCCAGCCCTCAGTTTGTTAAACCTACGTAACAACTGTAATAAGGCAGGTCTCACTGTTACCGTCTTACAGGTGAGGAAACTAAGATTCAGACAGATAAAATAGCTTGCCCAAGATCACACAGATGTTAAAAGACAGAAACAGGGTCTGGATGCAGAGTTAGATCCCAGAGTTTTAACCCGCCAGCATGCCTGGGGTTGTGAGGCCTGTGATCCAATTAATGAATGCAGTTTTTAAAAAGTGGGGGGCCTAAATATGGCCACAACATTATGGAAACAGTCTGACCAGGAAAAATAGATCTGGACTGTCACCATGCCTATTTTCTGCAGCCTGCCTCTGTTCATACTGTCTCCAGAGACGCTGTCATTTCTGAAAGACCTGCCATGCTCTTGGCTCACATTGAGCTGGTTGCACTCAGCTAAACTCCCCAGGACTCTGACACAGGAACTGCTGGAAAGTCAAGTCTTGACTGTTCATCCTCATCCTGATGACAGAGACCCTGACAGCAAAGTGCGAGTTACACCAGATTGGGTTGGCTGGCTGGTTCTTGCGGGAGTGGAAGACCTAAAGGGAAGGGCGCCAAGAACGTTCAGAGCAACAGAAGAGCTGCATAAACCACTTTATTTGTGTCCCTCTGGACAATAAGAACCCAGAGGAGAAGCTGTATATACAACACAACATTTGTAGCCAACTAACATGTGGTTCTTTGTTATCATTTCTGAAAACCAATAAGCAAAGAGAGAATAAGCTTTGCTTTCCATTTTTGCAACAAACTTTAAAAATCTCCAACCCAAAGCAAAAGAATGCTTAACTGGAGCTTTGTGCTAAAGGCCCTATCTCCCTTGAGCCTCCCTTCCTCTCCCTATCTCCAAATCCTCATTTCCGGGAGGTCATTTTAATTAGCAGGCTGTCATGGTGACTCAGCCTGCTGCTTCACAGACAGGAAGGGAGCAGACTCCCCTGGACCCATTCATCATACAAAGGCACTTTACTCTTTAGAAAAATGCACAAGATTTAGCTTTCCCACCTTGGGAATTGCTACTGCTGCTGATTTATTTTATCATCCCCTTGCCTTCGCGGGGCCGGGGGGGGGGGAGGGGGTGCATTCTCTCGCCTTCTACATCTCCTTTACCTGGCGAACAGCCTCCCCCCATCGCAGAGTATCCATGCCCACGTCTTCAGTGGCCAGGTGTGACACTGGAATCTGGCGATGTGAACCATGATAGACCTTTTGGAAGCAGTGACCAACACTTTTTGTCTTTGGAGCTAAGGTTTCAGTTAAGCTCCCCAGGTCATTGGGAAATGCATGCAGCTGATAGGCACAGTAACAATATGCCTCAGACCGCTGCGATTTCAAAAATTCTGTCCCATTGTTCCCAGCAGTACATTCGTCTTTGGGTTATATGTGTTGTTGATGGTGTTTTGGATCAGTGAGCACGGACAGTGCACTTCTAAAACTGTAAACAACCGTCACCTAGTCCCAAAGTAGCTCTACAACTTTAAAAGGTAAAGGGGCTTCAAAAGCACTGACCTGAGATGTGACAAACCTCTCAAAAGGCGTGTGTAGCTTTTCCTCTTCCTGTGAGGATCTCTGTGTTGTGGAAAATAGCATCTGTACTTGAGTGGTTTGAGCCTCCTATTTTGTTCCTGAACCTTATGCTGAAGTCCCACAATTGATTTTCCATTGGTAAAAGGGAAAACTGATAATGAAATCTCTCATATTTTCCTTTCCTTTCCTTAGCTTATTCATTATCTCACACCCCTTATTTTGGAAACTAGAGAAGGGTGATTAATTTCATGCCCCAGCAGAAAATGCATGCTCCCGCCTCCACAAGACCTCCCTGGACTCCATGTCCTTAAAAAGAGTTTGAAGGGTCTTTGTGGTTCACTGAGCTCTTCTTGTCCCCTTTGCCGTTGGGGTGGTTCCTGGCTGGGCCCCGCGCGAGTGGGTACTTGTAGGGAGGGGGCTTTTCTTTCCTGCAAAGAGGAGATAACAGAAAGAGAGAAGAAAGACAGCACATATACACACCAGATTGAAATCTTTTCTGTGCGTGTCTATCTCCCCCACTGAATTTTGACTTCCTGGGAGCAGTGGCTTGTCTTCCTCTTCTCTGTGTCCCAGAAACCCAACCCAGGGTCTGGTTCAAAGCAGGCATCAAAACTCAACAAAGGACTGCTAGATGGATGGATGCATACTTGAGTCTCAGGACCGAGCACCCAACACAATGCCCTTAACACTACTCTTCAGTACCTGCCTTCTCTCTGTTAGGCTCACCTGCTAGACTATGAGCTCCTTTGCAGACAGGGACCAAGTTTTATCCATTTTTGCATTTTCCCTCATATAGGACCTTGTTTGTTATGTTGTTGGCTGATGAGCTGATGTGCCATTCATTCATGTATTGGACTAAGATTTGTTTGTAGTGGAAAGGGTAGGCTTTAGAGCCAGGAAGAACTCACCAGAGTTCCCAGGTCGGCTATGTATGAGAGGTGTTATCTTGGGAAAGTTATTTAACCTCTATGGGCTTTATTTGTAAAATGGGGATAAAATATTGCAATCTTGCAGGGCTGTTGTGAGGTGAAATGATATGAGTAAATGTACCTACAGCAGTCTCTCTTTGCCTGCTGTAATTTACAAAGTCATGGTGCTGGATATTAGGTATGGTCCCATGGCCTCTGGAGACGACAAAGATGAGTCAGACATTGATGTTGTCATCAAGTTGCTTACAATTTAGTAAAGGAGACAGTTGCACAAAATACACAAAATAATAAGAATTACAAAGCACGAAAAGAAAGTGGTGAACGCCATATATACGGAATCTCTCTTGGGCCGTTTGAGTTAGGACTGAAGAAGCAACTTTCTGGAGCCCCTCACACTCTGACCTTGGGGTACCCATTTTCCTTCACTGTTGAAGAGTCATGAATGAGGTCAAAATGTAAAAGGTGGCAGTACACAAAAGGGACACCTTGCCCCAACATCTCTCCTCGACCAGGAGGTCTCGCTGTTGGAAATTCCACTCACTGCAGGAACCAGCTAACCTGCCAAAGCTGTCTAGCATGGATGAGATACTCCTAGGCCTCAGGACCCATTTACAACCCAGAGTACCCGCTTGTAATGTTGTTTACAGGCAATGTGCTCTTGAAGTCCCCTCCCTTCTATCTTCTGTTTCTTCATTTCTAAAATAGGGAAAAGAGCCCATGTCCTTCCTGCCTCATAGACTCTGGTAAATGGGTGTTAGGGGAGAGCTTTGCAATTACAGGGTGCCATTCATATGTCATTGAGGGCTGTGGTTCTTAATACCAAAGGGAGCATGAGAAGTAGATGGGTATGTTTTCATGGGGGTAAAGGAGGGTGTACTTCCCCTAGAGAGGCAAGCTCAGTACAGTCACAAGTGGGGCAGCCCTAGGTAGATGGTGGCATGGGAGAAGGCATGCAGTGGCCATGGAGGAGTGTGAATGTGCAAATGACTGATAAAGAGCTTCTGTAACTGAAGATGGGGGCAAAGAGAGAGAAAAGGCATTGGAAGGCAAATACCCCATACATCCGGGCCTCTGTTCCTCTTCCTATAATGCCTACTTCCACCTCTCCAGACTCACTTGGGAAGTAGACTTCCCAGAAAATAAGCTTCTTCCTCCTCAAGTCTCCTGCAGTACTTTGTGCCTCACCCTTGGTACACCATTTTCTAGGTAGTTCTTTTCCTATCTGTTTTTCTCACTAGATTGTGAGTTTAATGCATTTGCTCTTTCTCTAGAACTCCTGAGCAAAACTCAGGCCTGGCATGGATTAGGAGGTTGAGGAGTGTTGGATGAGTAAAAATGAACTTTTGGTCTTCTCCTTACCATCTCCATTGCTCTAAACATCAGAATGTCATTGCCTCAGAATGTGTCTTTTTAGGCCCCACCTCCTGCCTTCCACCCTATCTCCAACATGGAACACCCTCTCTCCTTTTTCTGTTTCACCCATTTAAGAGCTACATGTCCTTTACAAGCAAGTTCAAACCCCACTTCCTCCCTGAAGCCTCCTTGGGATAGTCCTGCTGGCTGCAAATGCTGGCCAGATGGGAAGGGAATTTCTGGTTGGCTGTCACTGTTGTTTCCTAAACGTGAAGGGGCTGAAGTCAATAATTCTTAGGGGCTTCTTCAGTTTTACCATTCTAGAATTCATACATTTGGGGCTTATTTAGGGTTTACTCCCTGCTAGGCTGTGCACTGTGCACTAAAGATACAGGAGTGACGCAACGTAGCCCCTTAAGGAGAAACCTGTCTAGTGGAGAAGCCAGATGTGCAAAGTGCCATGACAATACTCTATGGGACATGCAATGCTACAGGTGTGTGCAAAATGCAGTTAGGTATCCAGTAAAGAGGAAGCAGGTCTATCTAAGGTGGAGAACAGGGACAGTGAAGCAGAGGTGTGATGTTTCCACTGGACTTGAAAAGTATATAGGAATTCACCATCTAGAGACAAAATGGAAGAACATTCCAGGAAGAGGAAAAAAAGGATGAACAAAGACATAGAAGCATGGACGCAGTTGATCTGTTCATACTGAAGCATGAGGTGTAAAGTTGTAGGAAGCAGATGGGGTGGAGAGGGTGCTCACAGGGGAAGAGGTGTGCTGGCAAGCTGTGAATGAAACTCAAGTTGTAAGCCAGAGCTTTGAATAGCAAGAAGAGGAACTGGAACACTACCCTGAAGGTAATGGGGAGCCTTGGAAGGTTTTTGAGAGGGAGTATAACCTGATATGTAGCTGAGCACTTTCCCACACTGTTTGGTATCTTGTCATGTTACATGCCTTTCTCTGTAATCTAGGCTCCTGATGGGTGGGGGCTCTCTATGTCCCCTAATACCCAGGGCACAGCCTGGCACATGGTGGGCTCCAGTGTGTTGAATAGCTGATCATTCCCACCCATCAACATACACATTAAAACTCCACCATGGATCCGGCCTTCCCAGCCTGTCCCTGAGCCTGAGCCCACCCCACACTCAGAGACTAGCCCACCTTCCACACTCATGCTCTGTCTCCCCACAGAGGCTCACCTGTCCTGTTCATTTTTTCTGATTTTCATCCACCTTGATGGGACCTTTTCAGCTTTAGTTCTGTAGCTATGTTACTGTGGTCCAGAGAAGTGTGTGGTCTCAGCTTTGGTCATCAAGGCCACATCCCTGAGGCTATGCTTTTGGGCCCACACTGCTGACCCACCCAAGGGACCCTCTCTGAAGGGTGGCCTGGCACCCAATAGGCTCCCACCAGCACATGGGTGTAAACTGACATATTATGATTATCCATAGAGATGAGAGAAAACAAAGATTAATTTTGAGTCAAAACACGTAATTTTCCTTTAAAATCAGAACTACTCTTCCACTTATATTATTTGATGCTTGGGTGGAAAATAATACCAAAAAAGGGGACAAGCTCAAGTCCCAAATCAGAGCCTGTGTCCTCCTGGCAATTCATTTCTCAAGGCCTGCCGACCAACTGAGAGTTCAGTGATACTCATAGTTTGATGAGACCGAGGTGTGAGATGTGAGGATGGAGAGGGAGTTTGTTTTGTTTTAAATTTAAGGGTGGGTGCGTTTACCTCAAGTCTTCAAGGCTGGTAATTTTGAGGAGTGAATCTCCAGCTCTTTTCTAAAGAGGCTCCAAAGCTTAGAGCAAAGAGGTCCAGTGAAAGGTTGAACCCAGGGCCCCGAGAGTTCCTTGCATCCTTTCCATCCAGTTTCAGGTTCCCACGTCCTGGCCATCTGGAGGAACTCTTTGCTAACTGATGCTGAGAACAGCAGCCTGGGGGTCGTGGGGCTGGGGCTCTAGTCCTGGTTGTGACCAGTGCTGTGTGCCCCCTGGGCCTCAGCTTCCTCATCTGCATTATGAAGAGGGCCTGAACGATTGCTAGTCTCCCCCAGTGTCAACACCATTTCACCGACAGTGCAACAAGCTAGAAAGAAGTCTAAGGGATCAAAATAATTTTATTCAGGCTGACAGAGGACCTGAAAGAGACAATCCCCAAATTAACTTGTAAATGAGATTCTAAGAATTCTTTTGAGTGTTCTAAAGCTTTGAATTTTTGAGAACTTTAACCAATCAAGAATGACTTCTAAGAATGAACTGAGCACTTTACTCTAGAGGTGAGCTCCTCAAAGGCAGGCAGGGTCATGCCCTAATCACTTACTCATTCAAGCACCTCTCTCCCCCCAGGGCCTGGCATAAAGTGCTGGTTTTCCTGAGTGAATGAATGAGGGAATGAATACAGGCTCAGCATGCAGGCTCAGTGCGGTCTAGGCACTGGTGGAAGCACAGAGAAGAAACAGACATGATCCTCCTGAAGGAGTTTTTAATCCACCAGGAATAGGATGGGGGGCACAAATACCCTAGATGATTAGCGAATAATCTGAGACACAGTATGAGCCAGAGTACGTTGTTCTGTAGACTCTGTGTGGAGACATGGGACTCACATCATTGTGGAAGGTAGCCCTGAGAGAGATCTTCCAGCCCAACCAGAGGAGTCCAGGGACTTGCACCAGGCCATGATAAACTGGTTGGACATCTGGGATTGCAACCCAGAAGCCAGAGGAGACAGAAACATTTATTGATCAGCTATGGACTGCCAGGCACAACACCAAGCTTGCATCTAATTTTTAAAACCATCTTGAGAGACTTCAGTTATTGCCCCCACTTTATGGTAGAGAGGTTTCAAGAGGCCAAGGAACTTGCCTAAGATCCCACAGTTAGGATGAGCCTGAGACGGAATTTGAACCCACATTGATAGTGACAAAGACTTCCTGCTTAAGCTGGAACTTAACCTGATTTTAGTCTAGCTTTGGAATGAAAAAAAATCCTAGGTCAAATCCTGCCTCTGTCAAAATCTCTTTGACCTCAGACAATTCTCTTCACCTTTCTGAGCTTTCTTTTCCTCATTTGTAATATGGGGAATATAATATATATGAGGAATAAATAAGATCATGTACAAAAAGTGCTTTGCTCAATAGATAACAGTGATTAATATTGTTTTTCTTAATAATAGGGTGTGGAGGAAGGTGCATCAGTGCAAAGGCCCTAAGGCAGCAAAGCATATGGACAAGGTCATGGGCAAGGTCAGTGGGAAGACTGGTCTGGCAGAAGTAAGTTGGACATCATTCTGTCCTTTAGGGAGGCTGGATCACTAGAGAGTAGGAAATGAGGCCAAGAGGTAAGGCAGGGCCAGCACAATTCCAGATGCCATTGGATGTCACTGTCCAAATGCTCACTGGGCTTACTTCCAGGAAGCATGGGAATGCCCAGCACTTTGGGCTCTGGTCTAGCTCTCCAGAAGGATACTTATCCCCTGACCTTCTCTCCTCATTGGCCCAAAATATTGACTCCATCAGAAGACCTGATGTAAAACTTCTTAGGTGTATGTCCTTTCCAGCCCTAAACCTTCGCATCTTAAGGGACTATCATGTTCTAAGGGGATATGTGTATGTCTGACAATATGTAGGGTGCTTTAACACACATCTCATAATAACCTTCCAGGTGAGTGCCACCGTCCCCACTGTACAGATGTGAAAATGGAAGGATCAGAGACTTTATGAGCCTAGATGAAATAGGAATTCTAGAGGATGAGCAACCAGATGAAGTAGCACATGGAGACACCCAGACTAACTTAGAACAATAACTGCGCTCGGTTCCCCAGCAACTCCCATCCCCATGGACTCCCATGTTAGACCCGGAAACGCGACCACCTCACGCTGTCTGACACTGTGACGATACTTTATAGTCAGAAAACATGCTGTTAAGTTCTTCTGCCCCATACACTCTGTGGCAGGGCAGGGATTATCTTTCCCATGCCACCGATAGGAAACTGAGGGCCAGAGAGAAGCCAAGGGAAGTCGACCCTGGACACAAAGCTGGTTCAACAGAACGTGAGCCACACAGTTCTCCCCTGTCACTTACCGCAGCCTCGGCATGGGAATTGCCACTCTCTCGACCAGGGGGTTCAGCCGATAATAATCCAAAAATGTTCTTGCCACATTCCGTCCCAGCTTCATATCTGCAATAGTGTGCGTCAAGGAGCAACTTTGAAAGGAGACCGAGTCAGAAAAAAGAGGGCTGGTAATAAAAATGATAACAGTAATAGAGGCAGCAATACCACCTAGAATCACCATTCTAAACTTTTTCTATGTACTGCCTTTTTTGATCTTCACACAATTTTCGACACTATTCTTTTCCTCATTTCACAGATGAGGAAATCAAGGTACAAAGAAGTTAAATAATTTGCCCGAGGTCACAGGACTAGAAAGGAGAGGAACCAGGATATGGGTCTAGGTCATCTTACCTCAAAGCTCTCTTCCTGGCTTTTGGAACATACTGTGTCCCTCTGGGGCTCACTGGGCTTCCGCGCTCTGACTAGTGTTCGTGGAACAGTGAAATGAGTTTCACCACCGTCTTCAGGAAGTCCCCAGGCTGGGGTAGGACATGGCCCAGGACATGGAAAGTAGCATTTATGGAGCACCTACTATGTTCCTGGCATGGCACTACTACTTTGTTTACTTATAAACTTTAAACAGTCCTGTGGGGAAGGCATCTTAATCTCCCTTTTGCTCTGGGAGGTTAAGGTACTTGTCCAAGGCTGCCTAACTTAGGCAATGGTAGAGCCAGGGCTCCAATTCAGGAATGTCTGACTCCAGAGCAGTGAACGTTCCACCACCCTGGGCTGTTTCCCATCCTGAAGGCACCTTTTCTGTCAAGGGCTGAGTCATCCCAGGCCAGTGCCTAGTGGGAGGAGGAAAAACACCAGACAAGTCGTTTATGACACTGAGATGTGCCGCAGGCTTGCTGTGCTCTGGGGCCGCCACCTGCTTTCTTCCTCTGCATGTGACCGACCTTCTCTGTCCCCTTCTTTAAAGAGTTCACAAGCTGGCATTAGGCATGGCCTCTCCAACCAGCAGACCCTGGTCTGCTCCTTTTAACCTAGTCAGGCTCCAGCTGGCTTGGGGAGACCAAATCACCACTGTGTGTGCTGACAGTAAGACTACAGGGGTGCAGAGGAGAGGAGAGGTCCCTGTGGACTGGACTAAAAAAGTATAGCAGAAATCTTGGAATCAGATGCATCTAATCCAAATCCTGGCTCTGCCACATTCTGCGTATGGCACATTGTATTTTCTAAAAATGTCTGCAACGATATTTCCTAGCTCACGTGTTATTCTATGCTATGACTTTGACCCTCCTTCCACCGAGAAGTGTGGTCTATGTCTCCTTTCTTTGGACCTGGGTGGGCTTGTGACTCACTTGTGACCACAAGAATAGCAGAAGTGATCAAAGTGACACTGTGGGCCTTCTGAGGCAAGGTCAGTAAAGGAGATGTCACTTGTCCCTGGCCTGCTGGACTACTCCAGCTAGGGTCCTGCACCTCCATGCAAGCAGTCCTGCTGCGCTGAGGCCACCATGCTGTGAGGCAGCCCAGGCTAGCCCACAGAGGGGTTGCAGGTGGAGGCCCTGCCACTGTGCGGAGACCCAGCCAAAGGGAGACTCCCGCCAGCCCACGGTGCCACCAGCACACTGCTGTTCCCGCTCCAGCAACTGCGCCGCAGGCTCCAAACTAAGACCACTCGATGGCGCCCTCCGCAAATTTTGGACCCACAGAAAGCATGAGGGAAGAGCTTGTGTTTTAAATGCTCCATCTGGGGGAAGTGTGTTACACAGCAGGAGAGCCCTAGAACAGTCTCCTGTAAGCAACTCCATCCTCCTGAGCCTGGGTCCCTGCACCCATGAAATGTGAGCAAAAGCCACCTCACGGGGCCTGTGCTGCGGTGCGTGACTGACACGTGGGTGCTGATGAAATAAGCGAGACAGTGGGGGACGAGGGAAGTGTGAGCCCATCCTCCCCAGCCTGCCTTGGCAGCCAGACTCAAAGCCACCCTAGAAGAAATCTGTGTTAGCAAAACTCTTGAACCTTGCAAGGAAACGGAGTCAGGCTGCCAGTAAAATGTTCCCCTGTGAAGTGCTGATCGTTTTCAGATGAGCCCTGTTTGAAAGACAGGGTTTTAAAGGTGGACTTGTCTGGGGCACCCTCTTTCCCTTTGCCTCTCCTACCATGTTACAGATCCCTCAAATCCTGAAGGTCTCACGCCAGGCTACTTACTGCAATGACCCTGCTTGAGTCAAGCAAGATATGGGACCTGGGTGGGAGGAGGGGAGAGACGAATCAAACATCTGCAGTTAAAACAAGCTGTCTTTGGACAAGGATTTAGGACCCAGACAAGGAGAGGGCACTAACTCTTCTGGCTGAAGCCTTTCCAATATATTGCCCAATAGAGAGAGAGAATGCGGAGCTCCCGACTTTGCATTGCCAACAAACATCGCCGGATAGCCTAGACGCTGACAATGTCATCTTCCGCATATTCTTCTGTGGCTCACTGATCTGTTTCTGGTGGGGGGCTCGGAACAGACGGCAGGTGGGGTTAGGACCCCCAAATCACAGAAGCAGGGGGGCTTGGCTAGGATGGTGTGAAACCCAGACTGATTTGGGGACTTCCACTCAGAGCTGTTTGAACTAAGGGGCAGGTGTCGGTAACTCTGGTACTTCCGGGACCCTGTAACAGGTAACAAGGGTTTGGGCATGTACTGTTCACTCCCATTCATTCATTCATTCATTCTAACATTCGTTGGGCTCCTCCCATATGTATGCTGGGAGGAAGAGTGACAGGGATGGGGTTAGAGAAAGAAGAATTAGATGAGCACAGTGGCCAGTCGGGAGGAGGAAACTAGCATGTCCCACTGACTATATCACCGAGCAGGCTGCTGCCTTGTCATCTTCACAACCGTTTATTTTAGCGCTCTCCCCGTGCACTGCACAGTGTAGTTACTATCACCAGTCCCCACCACAACCCTGCAAGGTCAAAGTACCATTCTACACATATTTTGCAGAAGAGGACACTGTAAAGAAGGAAAATCTGCATAAGTGACCTGGAATCCTGTGGCCTGAGAGTGAGGTAGGTAGCATGTGAACCTGAGGGTCTTTTAACAAGGTGCTATGGTTTCCCCTCTCTTGAGCGTGATTATACATTCCAACACTAAACTCCGTGGACATGTAGAAGGAGATTGAATCCCAACTGGAGGAATTGTGGAAGGCTTCATGGAAGTGGGTATATAACAGAGATTTGAAGCACAAGGATGAATCACAAGGGGGAGGAAGAGAGAGATGGGATCAGTGGCAGCACAGAGTGTGGCCGGGGCATGTGACCCCGGGCCATAAAAAAGACAGAAGAGGGATCAAGGGCCCAGGCCACCTCAGCGTAGAGCAAAAGGTGAGGCTGCAAGGCAAGGCTGTGGACAGATCAGGAGAGGCTTTGAATGCCAAATTAAGGAATTTAAACTTCTATTCCATAGGCAATTCAAAATAGTTGATATGGGTGTCTGTGGTCGTATCTATCATTTGTCCACTCAATATATGGTTATTGATCAACTGCTATGTTCAGGCTGTCTGGAAGTCTCATGGTATACTGTGGTAAACAATAATAAATAAATAAAACAAAACAAAACAACCAAGACAATGGTTCTTAAGTCTAGAAGTGGAGACAGATAACAAAGCAATAAAAACCCAAACAAAGATATAATTGCGATTGTACTAGTGTAGGATGAAAATGCGCAGGGTCTGTAAGAGGGAGTGATGGGGTGCTGCTTCAGACAGGGGATGTGGGCGGGCCTCCCTGAGGAGGACGTGTGAAAGAGCGGACAGGGGCAGTGGGAAAAAGTCCTTGGGTCGGGGAGAGGGTCTGAGAGCGGGCTGGCATAGAGGGACAGGCAGGGGAGAGATCATGTGGAGCCTTATTCTGGGTCACCTGAAGGAATCTAGATTTTCTAAGAGAATGGGAAGCTGCTGAAGAATTTTAAGCAGGAAAATGAGACGGTCTGATTTATAATTTTAAAAGGTCACTGCTGTGCTAAAAATAAGGCAGCAACAGTGGGAGCAGGGCAGATGGGCCAGGAGAATACTGCAGCGGGTCCGGGGTAAAAATGAGGGAGGGCTGGACCAGGACAGAGGCAGTGGAGATGGGCATATATGTTTTGGGAGAGGAGCTGGCAGGTTGGCCATGGGGCCTGTGGAGAGGCAGGGGTGAACGGCGACCTCCTGTGCACTTAGCCAGAGCAGCCGGGTGGATGGTGTGCGGTGACTGGGAATGCAGAAGTCTGAGGGTGGTGGAGCAGGCTCAGGGAAGAGACTAGGAGTCAGTTTGAGTTCAAGATGCCACTGAGACACTAAGCAGCCATGTCCTATGGCAGAAACAGGGAAAGAAGCAGATCATGGAAATGGTTTCTGAACTGCCAGTCCTCTGGGATCATGCAAGCCGCAAACTTGCTGACTGTATGGCATGAATGTCCCACTCTGCCCAGCTCCCCACCTCCTGTTCCTCCTCTCAGCATCCCGAGGTCTCTCGGAGAGGGGCAGTGGCTGCAGGGCCCTCTGTTCTCCTGTCTCAGGGCCTGGATCTGGTGCATCGAATGAGCATGTAAGTGGGAATCAAGAGACCAACCTGGTTTCAATCAGTAACTTGCCATGTGACCGTGGCCATTTCCCTGATCTGGGCTTAACTCCTCTGTGGTAACAAGTACAGTCTCTCAGGTCCTTTCTAGCATTAATGTGGTGTGTTCGATACAATAAACTTATGAAAAATCCCATCCCAATTCTTTCATTCAACAAATGTTTACCGAGAACTTGCTCTATGCCAAGTAGTTTTAGGCACTTGGGATATACAGCAAACAAAACTCACAAGGATCCCTGTCTTCATGGAGCTTTTGTTCCAGTTATGGGAGACAAACTGTCAATCCTACACATTTGTAAATTATTGAGAATGCCAGAAAGTAAAAGTGATAAGTGCTATAAAGTAAAGATAAAGGGCAGTGTAAGGGGAGTACAGGGGGCAGGGGGCACATTGTCGCACTAGGTACAGTGGTCAGAGGAGCCTCACTGAAAAGGTGGGGTTTGAGCGGGCTTGGAGGAGGTGAAGGAGCTGGCCAGCACCCAGGATCAGGATCCCCTTCATCAGAAAC